GTTCGATAGAATAAGTCCAAACCATAAAAATGTCATCCAAAAAGCGTCCGTAAAAAAGTGGGTCAAATGGACAGAGGGGCAACACCTCACGTTCCCACTCTGCCATGAAAAGGTTTGCGTACGAAGGGGCGAATCGTTTGCCCATTTCTGTCCCTGAAGTTTGTAAATATGTTTTACCATTAAATGTGAAATCGTTTCGACTAAGACAAATCTCTAAAAGCTGTAGAATTGCATCGTCGGGTCTGTTTGGATCTGGGTTTCTATTAAAAGCTTTACGAACTGCCGTTAAACCAGTAGTGTTATCGATATTGGTATACATAGAAGAAACGTCGATAGAAATTAAAATAGCATTAGAGGGAACACGAAGATTTTTTATTTTATTGACAAAATCGGTTGTGTCTTTAAGGTAGGCGCGATGTTGGCATGCTAGAGGTAGTAAGAAATGATCAATGTATTCTGACACTGCATATGACTCACTACCACAGTCAGATATAATCGGGCGGCCTTTAGGGATTTTATTCGAGATAAACCACTCCTTGGTTGGATTCTTATGGATTTTAGGCAAAGTGTACAAATGTCTCTCGCGAAAATCAGGTTTGGCAGACAGATAGTCATATTGTTTCTGTTTGAGATAACTAGTTTTGACTAAATCGGCAAGAATATTATTAATCATGTTAGCAGTTTCTTTGAAAATTGGTTTCGGTAAAATGGCATAATGTTTAGGTTTCGGGGAAGGGAGGGTTTGATTCTCCCAAATGTACAGGCCTAGGGTAGAGCAGACACTTTATTTAGAAATTAGGATTAAGGGTCTTGATATTGGGTTTTCTTCTGTTCTTATTCTGATCTGAAATTAGAAAAAATAACTCGCCCGATGGGCGAGAAGTATAGTATCTGTTATGTACTGATTGTTTTTAGTTTACTATGAACAATATTATCATTTAAGTTCTTATTTTTTGAATATGCAACTATCATTTTCTGCTTATAGACATGGGGGAATTTCTCTTGAAGGCTCTTATAGTGGGCATGAACTATCTTGCTTGCTCGATTGCTGGTTGTATTAAACGGGACAACAAAGGGTGCTATGCCTACATTATGATGAATATTTAGTCCTATAGGTCTTGCTGTATTCAATGTCTCAATCCAATGGGCCTCCCTAGATTGACGGAATTTGGTAGTTTCATCTTCGGGCAAGTCAATTTCTATACGCTCAATTGGGATTAGGGTGAGATCGTCTATTGAATGGTCGTCGAGGTTGAAATGATTAGAAACAGGCTGT